TCTTTTAACTGAGATCGGACTTCTCTTTTATGACCTTTTTCTATTACTGGTTTTGAAAGGTTGGCTATGCGTTTGCCTATGTCTTCCGGTTTTGGGACTGTAGAGTTTGCTGTATTGCTGTTTGGGCCAGAGTCTAGCTTCCTTAGAAGGTTCCATGCAGTGCGGCTGCTGTGTGTGAAATTGAGATTTTCTAAAATTTCTCTCTACCTTGTGGTTCTTGCGGAGTTAAGAGTTTCTAAGAGTTGTTCACCAACTTCAGGTTCTCCAGATTTCTCACACTGATCAAGCAGTTCTTTACATTCGTCGTTCCAACATGGGATGTAGGATTTGGTAACTTCACGTGGAATGTGATTTTTTGCACATCTAATCACTAGTGATGCGAATCTTTCATAATTTTGAACCTCGGGTTTGATATGTCTGATGTCACTTTCAAGTTGAAATTTAAACTCTTCCATCTTGGCAAGGGGAGTAAATTTATAATAGAGATGGTGGTGCCCACGGTTGTAATTATTGGTCTATGTTAGGATTTAGGAAAGTTATCGAGAACCTCACTTGTGGCGTTTTTAAAGTCATTTTTTGATCCCGTTCCGTTGGTAGATGTAAACGTGAGATCGGGGTTGTAGCCCCTTTGCCATCTTGCAGAATGGAAGGTGGGTTTCTGGTTTGCATCATATAAAAGTCTCAGATGGTGAACCTCGGCCCATTCGGCGATTTGTTCTCCTTGTTGGTTTCCTTGGTTATATCCCCATGTAGTGGTGGCTGTTAAAGTCTCCAGTGTATATTGTCGGGTGAGAAAATGTGGGAAGTACGTTTGGTGGCCATCCAGCATTTAGTGGTTTGTATATATTGACTATTGTTATGTCGTATACTTTCACAGCGAGTATAAAAATCTCTTGTGTCAAGTAAGAGTGACATGTGCTGTAATGTTTGATGTCTGCTCTACAAGAAGTCGCGATACCATACTGACCGTGGTTGAGTGAAGCTATTAGTGTGTATCCAGGGATTTAACCTCGGTGTTGTGTCGTCTGCAGTATGTGTTTCTTGTAAGGTAACCATGTCAATCTTATTCTTTGCCAGGAGCTCACCAAGATACTCGCTCTTGTTTCGGCTGATACCTTCAATGTTCAATTGGCATACTCGAACCGTTGGTTCGATTGTCAACTGGCTCTGACAAGTGCCGTCATTTGATCGTTTTGTGTTATTCATTGCAATGTGCTCGCCAGGAGATCTACGAGAAACAGGTCTGGCGGTTCTATTGTTGCTAGTTTATTTAGCGTTACCCAGGGTGCACGTGTAGTATTGTACTACGGACGCGAACTAGCTTTACACCCCTTGACTGAAAAACACTTCAATTTTGTGGAAATCAGCATATCGTTTTTTACATTCCAAATTAATTTTATTAATAAAACGTGAGAACTAAGTAGCATCAATATTTTTATTACTATCACAAATGGTTTGAGAGGAAAGTTCAAAAGTTTTACCTTAATATCCTCAGAAAGAAGTTCAATCTTTTTAGAAAATCTAATATCCGATAAAAGTTCACAACCAAGTGTTCCTTCGCATTGTAGTTTTAAATTCAAGAGCTTCGGATGTCTGAATATATCCGCCAAAAATGTGATAGTTGCAACGTTTTCTGTGTCCAAGAGGAAGCCCAAATGGTCATTTGCAGCTTCATTATTAACAGTGGACAGAAATTCTTTTATGTTGTTATCAAGCATTGCAAAGAATCTTTCAAGCACTAAACTTTAAATTGACGATGCCTCAAAGATGATTTTGCACGTACAAAGTTCACTATCTTCATGGTGGTTTGAATTTTACTGTGAAAAATTGGATTTAAACTGCAACAAAACATACTTTGATGAATAATATAATGATACGATATTAGATTTTTATTTCACTTAAAATCGCTTCTTAGTTGCTAAAACAAGACTTTTCTACACCCAACCAACCAACCAAGAAATAACTTTTTTTAAATCCAAACCATCCTTGCCAAAATAGTCCACCACAGCCTCGTGTAAATCCTCTCCTGTAGTTGTTCCTGATATTGGCAAAATAGTCAAAAGTTCTTCAGCAAACTCTTCACTGGTTCACAAATGTAAAGATATTTATATATTTAGATTTGATTATAATTTTACATTATATTTTAAATTTAACGGCGGTCCGCAAAAAACAAGCTCACGGTCCGGATGCGGACCGCGGTCTGCCATTTGGTGACCCTGCCCTATAATATAGACGAAAAAGAAGACTTTAAAGCAGCTTGTTGAAGATTTTGTAAGTCGTGATATTTTAACATCTGATTTTACCCTCTTCTGTAGATTAAGAATATTATCATGTGTTAAAATCGATAGGAAGTTTTTCTCTTCGCCATATCTTTATTTTTCATTTTAGAGAGGAATTTGTTGATTCCTAGTACCCCTTTGCTTTTGTTCCCTCGAATAGCTTGCTTAACCTCGAAAGTTGTGAGTTATATTTTATTATTTGTTTTAATATATAGTTTAATGCGAAATATATAACACTATGCGAAATTAGGAAGCTCCAGGTAAAAACGGAATATTATTAGAAATGATAAAGTATGGCGAACAACACATAGAAATTGATAAATGTATAGAAATAAGTGAAGCACTTACTGAAGTAGATATCATCTGCAAGTAATAATAACACTAATTGAAAAATTAAATGAATACAATATAACACTCTGGATAGTTATGGAAGATTACGAGAACGCATTTGACTCTATATAAATGTGGACCACCATTAATGCTTTAAGCAATAATAGAACTGATTTTATTTTATTTAGCGTATGGACTTTCACAGTACGATAAATATACAAATACAATAATATATACATATATATTAAATATATTATTCAAATACTAAAGATAGAATGAATGACACTAAATATTACTGTCCAATTTACATAGCCATTCAATTTCTTCTGGGGAACATTCCGCAAAGTCCTGGAGGTTTCCACGGTAGGCACGATTCAAGCAGTCTGAAACACAATGGCTAATGGTCTATCTACATTGTCTGCAATCGCACTGTGGACTTTCTGCACGACCCCACCTGAACAGCGAATCAGCACATTTACCATGTCCGGTATGTATACGATTAAGCCTTGGTCAAGTGGACCGGGGCAGATTTGATCCGATGAAACCTTGAGTTGGGGTGAATATCTTAATATAGTCCGATTCTACTCTTGGCATCCATCTTGTTGTCCATTGCCTATGTTTTTAAAATAGTAATTACCAATTTTTCGGCAGATCGTATTGGAGTGTTTCTAGATCTCAGTCGCTGGTGCTCTTTTGAGATGTCTGCGATATCTTGATATATTGGTAATTGTAGGTTGGCTACAATTTTCTGGTACTCTCTCACTAATGCTGCTGTACGGCGTAGATCTGGTGGAGCAATATTGCTCAGAGTAGGCAGTCATCTCACTGGCGTTGGTTTTATTGTTCCAGTGATTATTCTCATGGTTTGGTTAAGTTGGACATCGATTTTGCTTGTATGTGCACTATTTAGCCATACTGGTGTACAATATTCTACCACTGAAAAAACCAAAGCTAGAGCAGAGGTCCGAAGAGTATCTGCAGAAGCACCCCAAGTTGTTCCAGCAAGTTTTGATATTCAGTTATTTCTTGTTCTTAGTTTACCGGCTGCGTTAAGATGACTTTTGAAGGTGAGTGTTCTATCAAGTGTGACGCCTAGATATTTGGGGTTGTTGTTATGTTTGATAGCTGTATCATTTAGAGTTACATTGAGAGTATCGCCCGCAAGTTGATTCGACAGGTGAAAGAGACAGGTTTCAGTTTTGCTTGTGTTGGGACGTAAGCGCTAGTTCTTAAAGTAGTTACTTAGTGTAGTTAAGTCCTCGTTTAGAGCTCGTTCTCCTGCTTCTTTACTATTATCTTGGAAACCAATGGCCAGGTCGTCAGCATTAGCAAATTTTCTCGATTTTGTTTCAGGTATATCTGCTGGTATATCAGGTATATCAGGTATATCTGCAGGAGCTAGCACTGAGCCTTGAGGTAAGCCGTTGTTAAGTTTTCTTAGAACTGATAGAACTCATAGAACTGATGACCCATATACAAAAATCATTAAGTATATATGACAATGCAACGTCGTAAGGAAAAACGGAAGAAAAAATAGAAAAAATAAAACTACATAGAAGAGTTAGACAAGGGAATTCTATCTCACCCAAGTTATTTACTTTAGCACTAGAAGATATGTTTTGAACTTTAGAATAGGAAAATAAAGGGGTGACTATAGATGGCGAAAACATGAGTCACCTGAAATTTGCCAATAATGTGGCACTAATAGCAAGACAGATAATTGCAGGAAATGCTATTAGATCTAAATAAAAATCAAAAGAAATAGGACTTAAATTAGGACTAATAATATAAAAGATTGAGTCATATATATATATATATATATATATATATATATATATATATATATATATATATATATACTTAGGACAAAAAATCGAATTAAAAAGCATAACATAAAGGCTGACTTAAATAGAAGATGTTTTTAGATAAACAGTATATAAATCAAACTAACCAAATGCTTAAGGCAAAAACTTTCGATTAATACCGATTTCGATTAAAACCGTTGGGAAGAGTGAATTATTAAATGGCGGCCAAGAGCAAACGAGGGAAGTAGAGGCAGTCCTCATACCAGATGGATTGATGACATTAAAAATGGCTGGTCATAACAGGATGCAAAAAACAACAAATAGAAAGGAATGGACATACCTAAGGTAGGCTTACAAATGAGATGGATGAAATAGCTGATGATGATGATAATGAAAATAAAATAAACATCAAAGATCGTATAAAGATATAATTTTTTATTGTTCAACTTGAGTATAAACTTTTTACAATATCAATAATAAATATCTACATAAATACTAAAAATTAACGAGAACAATTAATCATATATACATTTTAACTTAAAATAAATATACCATAGTATTTTTAAACTTAATAACTTAGAGTAGACTTACATCAAAATGAGATATTTACGATTAGATACAAAGTATAATAATAACCAAAAAATTATTTAGTTGTAATACAAAACCCTATAAAATTACAAATATGTGTTCACAGAACTTACAAATGTAATATATCATAGATATATGGGACCAAAATCACCGAAATATCAGGTACTTCTTCCGATTAACGATTGGTCTGTGAAAGGTCTGTTTGATTGATATCGAGCATCCAAAGTTAAATCAACTTGAGCATCAGATATTTCTTCAAAAATCAGACCGCTATGCCAACATTTTTCGGAAGTTTCCCTGTATTCGGCAAATATTTTACTTAAAAATTAAGATTTTTCATTGGAAATTACCTTCCTTAAATCAACACGCCTAACTAGCGTGCATAAGCATATAGTAATACCCTATAGCTTATTTTGACACTTTGATAACAAAATGCAATATTTTTACTTGTTAATACCCAAAGAACCATCACCAAGATCACCACCCAAGTTACTTTGGTGTTCTAGACAAGCTATGTACATTAAGCAAACCGTATCTTCAAGTAATTTAATATACATAGTTTACAGACCTAAAAATGATCATAAACTAAAGTTTAAGACCAGTTACCAAAATTTTGTACATATGTAACAGTTGATTTTGGTACAAAACTTTGGTAAAATTTTAATCCTCACTAGAAGATACGTTGCTAAAATTTCTAACGACAATTACAAACAATATGGATGGCAAAACTGGTACACCAGTCTCTGTGACCTTTCTGTTTTCTTCATAATGCCTTTCTTATAATACTGTCTAATCGACCTACTGAGCTTATCATAATTCATCGCAGGTCTGTTCTTCCGTTTGCCCCAAAGCCTGGCCACCTTAACAGAATCTTCTATTTTAAAGATGCCTTTGCTGCGGTCTATCCACCTTATACACGAGACATAGGTTTGAGGTGACGCTAATAACTCTTTAAGAAATTGCCAGAGATGTATATGAGAACCTGATCTAGACGTAGTGGGTTTTGAGATATCTGCTGGAGATGAAATGTCTTCTTCTTCATCTGAAACAACAATAAAACAATATTTTAACAAAATATGAAAAAGGTATAAATGGATTAAGTGAAAACATAAATAATTAAAATAGAAATTTCGTTATTATTTCAAAATTATATAATTATACAATTTTTTATGTGAAAAACGATACACAATTTTTTATATTTTACATCATAAAATAAAAAAAATATATTATTTCGAGAAAATATGATAATATTTTAAAATTGCCGTCAGTGTTTGTCAACTCAAATCAATTTCCAAATTGTGGAAAAAATATTGTCAACCCGTTCAACAAAAAAGTTTCACGTAATGATGTAATATCTAAACCAATTAAAAAAAAGGCAAACTAATACAATATATCACTTTTTATGGATTTAGTAGACTTGAAAAATGCCTTTGATTTCACCCTATTCTATCCCAATAAACTACTGGACATGGACAAGTCCAGATGGAGTTATAACCAACAACAAAGACATGATCCATAATGTAACGGTTCTTAATAGCTGTTCAGTGGGAAGTGATCATAGAATGATAAGAGCGAAAATCGTGCTAAATCTCCAAAAACAAAGATACAAAATGATAACAAAAACACACCCAATAGGATGGAATCCAATCGAAAACACCATGTCCTTCGAAGAGGAAATTCTAAGATGTCTAGTGACAACAAATATAGACGTTATGGATGTCGAAACCTTAAATGATAACTTAGTAAAAGCTATTAAGAACGCAGAGAAAAAGTGCAATACAAATTCTAGGAGAGATAAGGAGGAAAAAATCAGTCAAGAAACAAAAAGACTTATGGAGGCACGAGGAGAACTTAAGAACAAAAACGATAAGAATGCACGCGTACTACAACCAATGATTCCAATTGTATTCCAAATGTAAGATTAAAATGTGTCTGAAAAGAAAAGGATTTCATCAATGTATTTTGCCAGTGATGACCTACGGCGCAGAAACCCTAACGCTTACAAGAACAACAGTGAGTAAACTACAAGTTGCGGAAAGAGCAATGGAGAGAATTATGTTAGGGATTTCTTTACATGATAGAAGACCCAATGCTACTAAACGCAAAAGATCAGGAGTAGCAGACGTTATTGAAAGGATAACAACAATAAAATGGAACTGGACAGGTCATGTAGCAAGATCAGTTGATGACCGGTGGACAAAAAGAATTTTGGAATGGAGACCCGGAATACAAGCTTACAGAAATAGAGGTTGACCCCGAACAAGATGGACATATGACATAAAAAGAGTGACTACAAATTGGCTTCAGATGGCGCAAAATCAAACTAAATGGAAAAGCATGCGAGAGGCCTATGTTCAGTAGTAGTCGTTAGAGGCTAGTTAATGACATGATTCTGACAACTTAATAGAGCAACTTGATAGAGCAAGATATATTCCGTTTAAAAATTACTTATAGCTTTATTTTTGATGACAGCTCATTTACATTTTACTCTTGTAATGTATTTAAAGTTTATCCGATAGTCAAACTTTCATTATTTCTGTATGCTTTACATCTTCAGACATTCGGGTAGATACAAACTCATACACGGAAAGCCAGCGAATGTGTCCTGTTTCCACTTCTACAGTGGTAGCTGAAAAAAGCTATTTTGGTGGCCTCAAAACGTAAATGACTGTTTTTTTCTGTCTTTATGAGCTGAACAAAATGTAAGTAAAAGATTGCATTTCATTTCGATCGGAACTCCATCATAGCCCGACACGTGTTTCGGGTTATTCAACCCATCGTCAGGAGCTCTTGTGGAAGTAAAAATGTACTTCTAGCGTCGTTGAAAGCCTCTAGCAAAAGGCTTTGAATTTGCGGTTCACCTAATTTGCTATCAGAGAGGTCTCTCGACTTCTCGTTATTTCATGAACGAAATGTGTAAAAGATTTACCAATTTCAGTAATAGCTTTTCTATGGCTCTGATGAATTGAGACGCCAAATATATAAATAAACGTCGAAAAGGAGCACAACTCGTCAAACTTTCCATGTATGAATTGGATGCCCTACGGCTTCAGACAGTCGGGTAGATACCAATCCATACTCGTGAAGCAAGCGAATGTGTCCAGTTATTTTCATCATTTCTAGTGGTAGCTGCAAAAATTGTTACCTATACTAATGGCCTTAAACGAAAACGACAGTCATTTTCATATTTTTAACAGACTTTGCCAATACTTTTGCAATTTATAGTAGAATTAGAAAACAATAACCGCAAACCATTTCTGGAAACCATGATGGTGCATTGTGATAGAAACAATGTTTTAAAAACAGAATGGCAGAAAAAGTTCATGTGATTAAACGCGTTTATTAATTACTTTTTAACACATTTACTTACGAACTTAGTATTAAATATGAAAAGTTGAGCCATAATTAAAAACGATTATGTTGGAGTATTTATTCCCAGCGAACCCTTTGAACAGACTTTTTATTGGTGTTTCAACAGTCAAAACCACATATTACACAGAGGTCTCAATCAACAACCAACGAACGGTGTACCACTTTTTAAAGAAATGTGCTGTAGTATCTATATATATATGTATATAAGTGTCAGGCCATGGGGATGGTGTGTACTAGTTTCTATATATGAGATGATGTGCACTCTCTTCTTCTTGCTATAGCATGCTGGACGAGCTATACTGCCTGTAGTCAGAACCCCGATGTATGAGCGGGAACACAAGGTGTACTAATACTCATACTCTCATGAAGCGCATCTGGCGCTGCATGAGAACCTTCACATTTTACTCTTCTTCAACTAGTCTTTGAGTAAAGTGTCTTTTATCTTTCCTATCAGCCTCTCTTGGCCAACTCTTGTTTTTCTGACCCCGATTGGCTATTAGGTTTCCGAGGGCGGACGGGTCACTATTTTCTTTCCTTACTCTAAACTATTTTCTACCACGCAGAAGGAAGTGGGGCCCCACTGCGTTACTTTGCCCCAAGAACTATCATGAAGATGACCTCTAAACATATCAGTATGCCGAGCGATCCAACTAGCAATTGGCGCCAATCAGCGTCCGGGGCTGATGGTGTGAAATGGGCTACCGGCCATGATGTTGTGAGAAACCAGGCACGCCATGGAAACTCTGAGTCTGGAATAAACATAAAAATATGGAGCACCCTTAAAATCGGTACGTGGAATGTTCGAGGATTGCTGGAACCCGGAAAATTGGATGTAGTGGAAAACGAGATCCACAATTATGCCATTGTAGGTCTATCTGAAACCCACTGGAAAAATAAAGGACATTTTACGTCAAAAAATGGCAATGATATTTATTTCTCCGGCAATGATAACGAATCTCGGAATGGCGTCGCAGTGATAGTAAATAATGCCTTTAAAACCTCCGTAAAAGAATACATAACCGTCAGCGATCGGATAATTGTTGTCAGAATGAATGCCAGTCCAGTTAATCTTAATGTGGTACAAACATATGCCCCAACAAGCGAAGCTCACGATGAAGAAATCGAAACATTTTATAGTACGTTGGAGCAGACGCTTAGGAAGCTTCCAAATAGAGAAATCACAGCAGTCGTAGGCGATTTCAACGCTAAAATTGGTGTAACTACAGAAGATCATTACTTGCGAGAGACCGTCGGATTATATGGACTTGGCCAAAGAAATGACAGAGGAGAACGCTTGCTACACTTTTGTATAGACAACAACCTGTTTGTTACTAATACAGGCTTTCAACATCACCCAAGACGACTATACACTTGGATATCACCAGGAAATAGATACAGAAATCAGATAGATTTTATACTGGTAAAAACCCGTTGGAGGAGCGCTGTTAAGGATGTTAAGACCTATCCAGGAAAAGATTGTAATAGCGACCATCAATTTTTATCAGCTGAATTCCGCATGAAGTTAAGAAACAGTCCAAAAACAGGAAATACAACAACTAAATGGCATCTAAGATATAACGATCCGTACAAAAAAGCCGCAATGCAAAAGCTATGTGACCTCAAACAATCATTAAATCCAGACGAGTCCTCAAACAGCATATGGACAAAAACAAAATCGATATTGCATAATGCTGCGAAAAATATTAAGAGTGATAGAGAAGAAAGAAGGAAACAATGGATAACGGACTCCACGTGGACTAAAATACAGGAGAGGAAGTGCTTAAAAGCCACAGGACTGAACAGTGAAAGTGATAAAGAGGCCTATAAAGCGCTGAACGGTCAAATAAAACGACTCTGCAAAAAGGACAAGAACACACACTTGAACAAAATCTGCATGGAAATAGAAGGGCATAAAACCAAAACTGAGACCAGAGACATGTTTAAAAAAATAAAGCAGATAACACGTTCCTTTACACCAAACTACCCTGCTATCAAAGATGATAACGGAACTCTACTCACTTCTAAAAAAGATATTTTACACAGATGGAAAGAATACTGTGGACGACTGATGATGGAGGAAAGCACAGACGCCCCATCACAACAAGAAGATGCCAGTTTTGCGACGGAACCTGACGTACTCAAAAGTGAAGTTGAAGCAGCAATTATGAGGCAAAAAAGTCAAAAAGCTGCCGGTCCAGATAACATACCTATTGAAATGATTTGGGCCCTAGATGACGTTGGAGTGGATATAATACATCAAATTTGTCAAAGAGTGTGGGAGACAGGTAAATGGCCTGAGGACTGGACACAATCACTATATATTCCCATACATAAAAAGGGAGCGAAAGATTTATGTAGCAACTATCGCACAATTGCTCTAATTGCGCATTGCAGTAAGATACTCTTACACATAATTCTCGAGAGGATAAAGCCCTTTTTACTACCTAACATTGCGGAGGAACAAGCAGGTTTCGTCCCAGGACGTGGTACTAGAGAACAAATTTTAAACGTACGGCAGATTGTAGAAAAATCCAGAGAATTCAACATCACAACATATTTGTGCTTCATAGATTATAGTAAAGCTTTCGATTTGGTCAACTGGAGTAAAATGTGGCAGGTTTTGTCTGAAATGGGAGTCCCTAATCATCTGATACTGCTAATTAAAAGCCT